ACGTCAAGAACATTCGCTACCTGACCGCCGATGACTGGCGCGTCCTGACTGCGGTATGCGCCCGCAGCCCGTGTCTTCGTCTGTGTCTATGGTGGGGGGACTAACGCTGATCAAGACCATGACAGACAGAAATGGGCAGTCGAAATCATGAGATTGTGCCCACGCCTCTGATTTCCCAGATTGCCGCTCTCCGCTCAGGCACTGGCGTTCACCGCTGTATTTCCAATTTGGCCAAAATTGGCCTCATCGCAAAAGTCCGCAATGCCAAATACGACGGCTACCGCCTGACGTACGGCGGCCTCGACTACCTCGCCCTACACACCCACCAGAAGGCCGCTACCGTCTACTCGGTTGGCAACCAGATTGGCATAGGCAAGGAGTCGGATATTATTGTGTGTGCCTCCGAGACGGGCAAGCAGCTAGTTCTTAAGATCCACCGTCTGGGCCGCATATCCTTCCGCACAGTCAAAGCGAACCGTGACTATCTGCGGAACCGCCAAGGTGGCTCGTGGATGTACATGTCGCGTCTCGCCGCCCTGAAAGAATATGAGTTCATGAAGGCGTTGCGAGCCGAGGGCTTTCCAGTCCCCGAGCCTGTCGGCCAGAACAGACACACCGTCGTCATGAGCCTCATCGATGCCTTTCCCATGCGCCAGATCTCCAAGGTCGGAAACCCTGCGCCTCTCTACGCTGAACTCCTCGCCCTCATTGTCCGTCTTGCACAATATGGTCTGATCCACGGAGACTTCAATGAATTTAACATCCTTGTCGAGGAACGCACAGAAAAGGACGGCAACGTGACCCTGGTACCTACGCTTATCGATTTCCCGCAAATGGTTTCCATCGACCACGCCAACGCCGAATACTACTTTGACCGCGACGTTGCCTGCATAAAGCGTTTCTTTGATCGTCGTTTTGGCTTCACAAGTGACGAGCCCGGCCCGTTCTTCAAGGATGCGACAAAGAAGCTGGTCAAGAGGTTGGATGTCGAGGTGCAGGCCTCTGGTTTCAGCAAGAAGATGGCAAAGGAACTGGAAATTTACATGAAGGAGCACGGTATTGACGGTGACGCTGTAAATGCCGAATCAGGTGTGGATGGTAACGAGCCTGGTGACGAAGATGAGGATGAAGCTGGTCTTGAAGAAGACTACGGCGAGACTGAAGACTACAATGACAATGAAGGTGGACCAGTTGGTGACGATATTTCTGCTGAAACCGAACTGAAAGACGACGGCAAGCAGCATGCATCCACAACACTCGCTTCTCAAATGACAATCCTCGAGATTAGAGACAACGACCCCCTACCAGACCTCAACGACATCAAGCCACCTCCACCATCTGGTCCTACAATAACAACAAAGGCGGCTAAGAAGAAGGCTGGATGGGCCTTGTAAATCCGTCCGACCTACACCTTCAATTTCATCACTCCTCCTTTTTCAGCGATACCCACGATTCCACACTGCTTAGGCACTTGCATCTAAAAAAGTAAGATTTTGAGATATACATAGACAAGAAAGAGAAATACAATGCATGATTGCATGATATCCATTTATCCATCTACCGCTCACTTCTACATTACCATCCCACATGCTCTATATCTCTCTCCTGTATGCATCGCCTCCGCTTCCATCGTATGAGTTTCCATTCAGCACACAACCAATATGACTCTCCATCCACCCTTACCCCAACAACACAAACACATCCGCAAACACACCCTCCTTCCCCAACCTATCCCTCGCATACTTCTCCTTATCCCTCCTCACCTCCTTCTCCCACGCTCTATCTTCCTCTTTGCGCACCTTCTTCTTCCTCTTTTCCTCCTCATCCATGATAGCGCGGTACGTCACGTACCACTCCGGTTGCCCCGTACTACTACGAGCGCCGCGTGTGTTTTTGTTGGATGAGCAGTGTACCCCAATAGAGTATTTTGGTGGCTCGAGGCGAGACATGTGCTGGGGTTTAGGTTTGCGGGATAGATGCAAGATAGAGGTGACGCTAGGGGAGGATACGTAGCGGGATACAAGACTCGGAGTTCTGCGAGTGTCTTTTGGTTTCCTGGTTGTTGATTTGGGTTTGGGTTTGGGTTTGGGTTTGGGGTTGGGTTTGGGTTTGGGTTTTGTGTTATTTTTGCGGAAGAGAGAGGTAGTTGAAGTACGGGGCTGGTTGGCTTGAGCCTTTGGTTTGGCAAAGAGGTTTGAGTAGTGTGAAAGCATGGTGAGAGTTGGTTCAGTTGATTGGGTTGATAGGGTTGACTGAGTTGACTGAGTTGGTCGATTCGGTTAAATGAGTTAAGTAAGTTGAGTGAGAAAGCAAAGGAGTATCAGTACTGCTGGAGTGATTTTATAGTGAGTGTGCACATCGTGTTTGTTCACTCGCGGGCCCGATTACATGCGGTCATATGAGCCGGTTTCACTCACGCTTCTTTACCATTCTGGGAATACATAGACCATTCCGGTCAAGGTTTTGGGGTATTCCGGAGGCCAGTTAGTCACGTTGATGAGCTGCAGAGGCTACTGGTGATAGCAGAGTTATGGATTTATGTATACAACAACCGCAACAAAACGATATATCTCGTCTTGAAGTGGTCTTCTTCTTGAAAACTGAGAGATACCAAATTGTCTCTATTGGGTATCATAAGCCAGTGCCACCTTGTACAAAATAACGTTTTGCCGTTAATAGCCTGTTGCTGAGTGGCGATCCAGACCAACCAATACACAAACCGTCCCGAGACCGCGGAAATGGTCTTGGCACTCACCCTGTTCTTTGATTCACGGTGATTTGCCTCATCATGTGCTGCGTTAGTCGTGGCGGGGACGCTAAGTGCGCGGAGTGAAGATTTCCACATCGAGGTAGTTCCTAACACTAACATGAGTAACTTTCACTATGCCGTTGGACTTGGCGAAAGGATCAGCTGAGTAGATATATTCGGAGCGTGTGAGGAGTTTGGTGCTCAGAGAGGGCTCAGAACCATATCTTGATCAGCTCCTCCGAGACTGCAGACGGAGTGAGGACGCCTGACTCAGTGATGATTCCAGAGATCAAATCTGGAGGCTGTTTTTGGGTCAGTACATCATGTATGAACTGTACGATGCGAAACTTACAGTGAAATCAACGGCGTCATGTGCGTCGAGCGGAGCGACTGTCGAGCCTTGTTTTGCAGTCATGTCAGCAATGGCCTCGTCGAAGACATTACGCTGCTCTTGTTCACCCTTGATATTTTGCTCAGCCTTGTTTTCCTCGGCCACCTTGAAGTCCAAGACTTTCTGCTCGATTGGCAAGTCGAACTGGCTCAGCGGGTAGAGCCTGACGAACTTGTGGCTCTCGGCCACGACGTAGAATGGCTTTCCCTTGCTCTTGGCCAGCACGCCCAGCTGGTATGTTCCCATGCGCGATATTATTCCTCCGTTTTCTACAACTCCTTCGGCGCCCACAATGATCATGTCGACCTTGCCCAACGAGTATGCAACTGCCGAGTCTGGGATCGTGGCCACCGGTACGTTGTGTTCTCGGAGATCGGCAACCGTCTGTAACCCCTCCTTTGAATCGAGCGAGCTTTCAGATGGCAGGACATATACGACCTTGAAGCGGAGAGTGCTTGATTCGGCCGCCCTTCTCAATAGCGCACCCACTACTCGCGAGCCACCGTTTGTAAGCACAGTGCCGCCGTCCCGGATGAAGTGCTTGCCAAAACTGGCTATCTTCTCCCTGCTCTGCTTTGCTCTGTCCACAAACAGCTTTCCGTTAGAGAGCAAGTGGTTTCGTATCGCACGGAAATCATCTTCTGGGCCCAGATTTAGGCTGGCGGGGCGGTTGAGGGTGGTAATAAGATAGCGCTGGAAGAGGTCGGTGCCGGCAGAGAGAGATATGGGGTTTGCGATTGAAGCCTTCAGCGCGGCAGTGTGGCGTTCGAGAAGATCGAGAGTCTCGGCGACGGTTGACACGGAACTTTGTGCGATTGCTTCGACGAGCGCCTCGATGGCCGCGACGGGCATAGTAAGCTCGGGATCATCTTCTAGGATTCGACGATAGGTCGCGACAATGTCGAAGTCGGGCTTCGTCTTGGCCGCAGGTTCTGCACTCATTTTGGCGGTAAAATGTGGGTGTGTTACTATTTCGTAGACTTTTGGATATTTTGTAGGGAGGGGTCGTCGGCGATTGAGTCATTCGCCAAGACCAGAAGATCAACTCCGACCATAGTTTCCCCAGATTTCATCCAGACCTGCTTCCGAGACAAACACCACTGAACTCAATCCCTGGTTATGTATACATTGTCAGGGCCTTCTCGGAATGATTTCGTCTATTGCGGACATATCAGTCTATGAAAGTTAATCATTCACAATGGCCACGTTCATCGCATGCAGTCATTTGTGTCCATCACAACCCGGTACCCTAAACACGAAATGCCCCGTCTTTGATCCAACAAAACTGATATCGGCCTTTCATCTGCCCTTACTCCTGGTACGTATTCCCACGCTACTGCATGATATGAAAATTGGAGCCATTCCTTGTACCTTTTGCGGAGTACTGTGGGAATAGAACGAAGTCGATGTTTGACAAACAAGTGCCGTGCTTGCCTCAAAAGTTTCCGGATTTGACAGCTACAGTGGTATGCGAAGTCAAACTAAGGATGTTCTACTACAGTGGCGAAAGTCATTGCAGCGGTCACGCGTAATGACGCTTGCGATGTCTTCTTCGACAAAACCATCTTAATCTAGGGTCTATGAGCAGAAATCAACCACATATAAGGTTTACAACATGATTACAGGGTCTTTCAAGCCTTGGAATAGCCTGTACTCAACCATGGGTGGTCCTCACCCTCACAACAAACAAATGGGTTACTAATCGTATGTGGTGCACTCACACTTTCTTACCCTTCTGTCACGATGATCCCGCAACATCGATCACGAGAGTTTTCTCTGCGTCCATATTTTCTGCGAATTATATAGCATCCGCTCTTTGTAACTTTCTCAGTTACTTTGGTTTCCGATCTTACCCCAGACATGGACTACCCCCCAGCCAGCCCCCACCAGACGCCTCCCCATTGCCGGAAGGCGAACAGAGTTTCACAGCTGATTGAATACTATCAAAATTTGTCTAATTCTTTGCCCTCGACTCCAAAGACTCCTGTTAAGAAGAAACTTATTATCGAGCCGGGCCCATCATCAGCAGCTAGTCTGGTCAAACGCCCGACAACTCCATCTGAAGCACTGGAGACTGAATTGCCTCAGTCCGACAGTCATTCAACAGCAGTTCCCTCTCCCCTATTCTCTAAAAAAGCGCGTGAGAGACCAAGGAAAATGCTGCCTACCTCGTCAGCGCAGGACTTTACCATTACAATTCCGATCACGGTCACTCTTCTAGCCAAGGCTTATTACAAAAACTGCCGAGAATAGGCAATAGGCCTCACACGAGTTCGCTTGAATCCGGGTAAGGAATCTGCGGCATATTTCTAACCCCGAATTGTAAGATCGTATTCAGCGGTCAATGTTGAATAGACGTTGAGATCACCCGGCACGTCTACTACGTCACCAGAAACGCCGCCTGGAGCAAATCCTATTCGTATGGCTCGCGTCGCCAGTGGACTGGAATTTATATACAGCCAATGTAATCCGCACCTCAAGAGCAGCAGCAACATGCGTTGCACTTGGAGACCGACGTGACCTCTTCTGCGGGGTGGTGGATCACTAGGGACTACACTTCAGAAACACACGCTTCTCGTTCTGTTAGTCCAATTACCTGTCGCGAGACACGATAAGAACCAATGACTGAAGATCAAGTCCCAAGGTCTGCTCAATCTATCAAGGATCATGAGGATGTTCCACACTCGGCCCACGACCTGGATGACGTTACCGGACCTGATTGGATGTTGGGTGAGGAGATCAAAGACGCGCCGAAAGTTCTTGAAGACCCTCGTCTATTTTTAGCTATTGATAGTCACAGGAGTTCGGGGGATTTACTAGAAGTCGGTTTGAAGAGGAGGTTGTATAGAGTAAGCCGAAAATTGAAGAACCCTCGAATAAGTGAGAGAACTATAACACATTGATACTCAAAGAACGCCCTTGTTCGAAGCGTTGACCGCAGTATTGCGGAGTCAAATTCCTGGCCTCCATCCGGGGAAGATTCAGCAAGAATTCTTCGACGGATAAACAATATGTGATGTTCTTGTATGATGACGCGTTTTACATGGGGCCCGACGTCATGCGCCAACGAAACTTCAGGGCTTCTGTGGTTGTAGCTCACATGATTGTAAGCCAGCTTCCTACCCAAACTAGCATTACCAGAAAGGAACGTGTTTTGGACCAGTCGATTTGCAGAGTTCATACAGGTCGAAAGAATATATGTTGATCTCCCAGGTCAGCAAGCACCCATTGACTGATAATTACCACTACCACTCACACGCGTCACTTTCCTGACCTCCCGTACAACATGACAATAATATCAGAAGTCGCCTCTAAAGTGAAGGATATTTGCTTAGTACCTCCTACGGAAGAGGAAACATCCTCATCAAAACAAAATCTCAAAAATTCAAAGCAGTCCCAGCCGGAACCGAAACGGCCCGTCCTCGAGATCACGTCCTATGACCGCTTCACTCCACCAAGTCCGACACCCGACCTTGAATACGACTGCCGCATAACCAACAACCCATCTGAAGAACTCCGTAAAACATGCACGGGGCTCGATGCCATTTTGCAAGAAGAGCTTATGAGCCGGAGCTCGTTTAGCAACATGGTTACACGGGCGGAAAGCGACATTAGACGTCTTATGGAGGTGGAAGACGTGAGGGCTCTTCGGGCAGGTGAGACGGCTATTGTGAGGGTAGGATGTCTCTGCGGGAGCGGACATCATCGCAGTGTAGCGTTTGCAGAAAAGCTGGGACAGGTGCGGTGGTGTGAGCAAGGGGAGTGGGAAGTCAGGGTCTCGCATCGAAATCTCACCAGTGGAGTAGAGGAGATGAAGCGGATTAAGAGTGAGAAGAGCAAGATGAGGGAAAATAAAGAGATAGAAAAGAAGGACATACATGGTTGTGCTGGAGGAGCGGCGCAGAAATAAGTTGAAGATGACTATGACTGGAATCTGCAGGGATCACATGGCGTTATTCAAATCGAAGACAACCTACCTTTGATACATCTATGGAGTCCCAGAAAGTTAAAAAAAACGGCTCATACAACTCCTACGCTGCACCGCCTTTCGACAGCTCAAGCATCGTCATAAACGACTCGGACAGCGAAACCTCAGAGGCATTACGACCCACCTGTGCATTCTCAAACTGTCTCATGTCCCGCTCCTCCTCCTCCTCCTCCTCCTCCTCCTCCTCCTCCATCACCACCACCAACAACCGCCTCTTCTTATCCTCAGCCTGTCGCATTTCCGCATCTGCCGCCTCTTTTGAGTTTGTCGCCCACGGACCAATCCTATCCACCCTCCTCTTCATTGCATCCGTCTTGCTCTCGCCCTCGCGTTCGACGGCCTTCTTTTCCGCCTCTTCCTCCGCTTCTTTCATCGCGATCCTAACGCCATGCTCTTCCTGTCAGATCCGCCATATATCGTCGTCCCATGAGTCGCGCTTTGCTGCGGGTTCGTACTCAGCCCACCATCTCATTACCCCACGGTCGATCATGTCGAGGTTGAAGATGCGCCGATGCCATGCTTTGACATGTTTGAGTATGGCGTTGTTTCGAGTAGTTATGACAGGGTCAGTTGGAGGTGGTAGAGCAATGTACTCAGCCGTTATTTTGTGGCAGCGTGGAACGTAAGGGTGTTCGAGCCAGACGGGGTTTTTTTTGGTAGTACCAGTATGGGATGGTGATGACGATCATTGCGGATGATGGTGTTCTGTTGGTGTAAGGGGGCTTGGTGATCAAATTGACTTTGATTAGTATGAGGATATCATGGGATTATGGGTGTTGTATAATATAATGGTAACGGCTCACTGATAGTTTATACATGGTGCGGTCTGTTTGCCAGTACATGTTCAGGTTTGTTATCTTCACTTTGTTTTCATCATTCACACTGTCACTCTGGCTCTACACACGGATTATGTTCACAACAGGGCCGGAAATGCGCAAGTGAAAAGGATGAGGCAGTATGACCTGCTGTGCCGTGATATATGATTCACCCCTTGCGTAATGTACCTGTATGTCCAAAGTTAGTAGCACTTCATGCTGAACAGCACTCTACACCCTCGCTATGCTTGAGCACACTCATATCTATAGTCTCTGACTATAGGAGCACTCTAATGGAACGCAATATTCTAACAGTTAGCTGTCTCCGTGTACTTTGCAAAGATCATAGCGCTCTCTCCGAGTTCTGCTCAGAGATGGTGAATTGTTGTTCGGTACTGTCCATCGAATCAATTGTGAATACGGGGGGTTCAAGCACCTCCTGTCAACAGCCAAGAAGCAGAACACATGAATTCAATGACGTATCTCACGATCACTCTTCCACTCTGTGCCAAGCATTCACTCAATTGCTGGCACTTGAACAACGCAATGGTTGTTATCTGAATGCATGATCGTGAAAACAATCACTCCACAACGATGAGGTGCAGTGCTTGGTGCATGCAGACACTTCAGCGCCGCGGCTCACGAGACCGACTGGCTCGGACTTCTTCCTAGAAAACATCCAAAGCTGTCTCACCTGTATCGTGGGTTCGCCTCACCTTGTGATAACGTTATTTCTTTTTCCTTCGCCATCACCCTGTTCCATCGGTACGTTTGTATGCATACACTCACGATCCCAAGAGCCAAGTACTGCCCAATATCCTCACGTTGTCACGCTGGCATCATATCTACATCTTGCCAGATCAATCGCTATAGAGGTAGAGAGGTTCTAGCCTCTTATCTCTGGTAACACCCACACCGCTCACACAGGTAGTTCCTGCCAAAAAAAAACAATGAAGCATGGACCACACATGGTGAAGTCAGGCGTCATCCAGCCTCGGCATCGAGAACGTCAGGGTTTTGGGCATCGGTGCCGATGGTACTTTGACATGCACACTCCACAACCTTGGCATTCTTCGCGTGCGGATGCAAGGAAAGATGCATTGTGCAGTAAGTACAGCAAAGAGTTGCATATGTGTAAGATGAACCCCCGTCCCCCCCCCCCAAAACGCATGTAGAGATAGGAATGGGAAAAACAAAAAGCCTGGATAGGCATAGTAGTAACCGTGCGTGTGCGAGGTTGTCTACGTGGCCCAACTTGACTGACTCTTATTGAACATTAAGGTTTTGGGGGCAACGGGCAGCAACGTATCACACAGACATGCAAGAAATACAATGTGTGCTTCGATGGTGGGAACCTGTTTGTAGTACGCACATCGTCATCACCGACTTTGCATCACATGATATACTCACATAGTTCGTCCCCGTAAGCTAGTAGTAGTAAACGAAAGGCAGAAGCGAGAGAGATCCAGACTTTCGGTCAGGCAGCCTTTTTCTTTTCTTTTTTTGCTGCCTCACGCATGACGATGCATCCGAGTATCCGAGCTTGTGCAGGCCCGAACCCTACCCATACATGTATTCCCATATATAATAATCCTATGCACGGTTCACTTTGTCACACTGCAAGGACCAAGCTTACCTGTCACAAGACATGTTGCGCACACACACCTCGTAAACAAATCAAAGGATACCACGACATTTGTTTTGCATTAGTACTAACTATTAAAATTATTGTTCTCGGTCAACTTTTGAGGGGGCGCGGCCCAACTAAATGCTTTCTGCGTCATATCCCACCCCTTGGAGCAATTGCACTGATGAATCAGCTTACTATTGGTAAGCGGAAACATCAAAAGGGTAACAAAAGCAAAGAAAGAACAAAAGATCCCCGCAGCAGGGTCGGCCAAGAAGAGGAGGGGGTTGAGAGTAGCCCGCGTGCTCTGTTTCCCCAACAATGCAGCGATCGTCCCATGCCCCCCTCCCACTCCCACGCCGCCTTCTTGCCCCCCCCCTCGCTCTTCTAACCGAAGCCAAGCTTCCTTCTCCTGCTTCCGCGCATTCCCATTATGCAAGCCAAGCCTGATCCCAACCACCAAGAAGGAAAAATAAGGAAGCGAAAAAAAAAATCGATGAACCGAAAAAATGGTGCCAGTTTGGTTTGTGTGTGCGTGCGTGTGTTGGTTTTAAAAAAAGCCGACCTTTTGTTTTTGTCACCCCAGAGTACCCTTTTATCTCACTCTCCCACATCCACACCCACGTCCACGTGGCCATTCTTCTCCAATCCGTTCTGTCGGGCCGACAAAGATCAGGGGAAGAAAATGAGCACAGTCATTTCTTCTGTGTTGGAAATTGACGAAGGAGAAAAAGGGAGGTGCGTGCGTTATGTCGTGTTGGGTAACAAAAAAAAGGGTTGGGTTTGGTCGTACAAAGAGACGAGAGAAATGACCGAAAATGATGTCATTCCGGTCTCTCTTTCTCTCTCTCTCTCTCTCTCTTCCGTGCGCGCGTAATTAACTGACTCGGAGGGTAGTAATCTTATCCTTCTGCATCGTGTGTGAACGGGGACTTGGCAAAAAGGGTCCTCCCCTCCTTCCTCTCCGCTCGCTAGTTTCAGTTTGTTGTGCCGTTCTTGGACTTTTGTGGGTTTGGGCTGCCAAAAAAAAAGGCCCTTTGTCGTCATTCTCCGATCTCTCTCTCTCGTGTCTGTGTGTCTACTTCTACTCCCCACGTGGGACGGATGATGAGCTCATCACTCCTCGGACTCGACGCTCTCGACGCTTGGCGAAGGGGACGAGTCGCGGGTGTATCGTGAGGAGAGGGTTGGGCTGGCAATGGGTTGTTGGGAGATGGTGGACTCGCTGTCAGAAGAGAGGTCTTCAATGGGGAGGCGGAGCATTTGTCCTCCAACGAGGTTGGGGACGTAGACGTATTGAGGTGCTGGAGAAGACATGGTATTGATGGTGATGGTAATAGTAGTGTTGATGTTGTTGTTGTTGTTGTAGTAGTGTAGTAGTAGTATGTGTTACTTGTTGAATGACTCGAAGATGAAGATGTCGAGTGTAAAGTTCACGATGTTCTGGCTTTCCAAGTCATGGAGGTGGGGGGACAAGCACCCATCTATATACTGTCAACTCTCAGACCACCCCAGCCAAAACAGACGCCCTATCGCTCTCTCAACGATGCCACTCACACACCACCCCAAGCTCCACCCATGTAGCCCACACCAACCCAAAACCCTATCCCCGACAATCCAAGCACCGTATTACCCACCCGGTCCCAGACACAGCCAACCAGCGGCCCCATCCCCACCAAGGGTAGCGGGGCACTATCTCCGTCTCCTCCGCTTACCAGCGCTGATTCGGCGTCGCACCTGCACAACGCGTGGCAAGTCTCCCCGATGCAGCTGAGGTGTGCCGACTTATTGCGTCCGGCCCACGGCGATAAGTGGTTCATGCGCGCGGTACGTCGTTCAAGGCCCCGCACCCCCATGCCCATGCCAATACCGCACATCCCACCTGGCCCAAAAGCCCATAATATCACTCTCGTCTCTCGTCTCTCGTCTCTCGTCCGCTTTCCGCCAGCGAAACCCCCCCAGAGGCCAAGCCCGGGCGCCTAGTCCTCGTGATTTTAGCGCCGCTCACGTCGCAGCGTCCGCAGGCCTAGACCTTCTTGTCTACCGCCTGCTAAGAGCCTGGGCAGCACGTAAAAAAACCCATCATCGTCATTCACTGGCTTTTTGGTCTTCTGCCTAGCTGGATTGCGCCATATGGGATAGGCAAGAATGCCAGTCCAGTCCTTGCCATGCGTGTATGTGTGCGCCTTGCCGTGCTGCCTAAATAAGTACGACGCTTTTCTCGGCCCTCCCCCGGATTGAGGATTGAGGAGATCGACATTTTGCACCCAAAGAAAAGAACAGAGTTCGTGATAGACTGTCTGGGTTTAGCGAGCAAGTGTTGGGCCGCACGGGTCAGTGCGGTTTCATGTTCGGACTTTGCGTGTATACAAAAGACCGAAAGATGAGTCAGATGGCTTTTCGTCGATTTGCAAGACTGTGCACCATGTGGACGACAGTGTTTGGATAGAGATAACCTGATCGTAGTGAGGTGGACAAAAAAAAGTAAGCAAACAAGGTGTCGCTGTCAATCATGGTGAAGATGGACTACAGTTCACGATGACGGTTGTGGGGTTTTGGCTTGGCCTGGTATCCAGATACCCTGGCTTCCTGGGCATTTTGAGGCGGGGCCGAGAAACGCGCCGAGAGCTTCGATACGATTCTATTCACAGCTCGCGATGGCCGTGGCGATTGCTACATAACACGTAGGTAGTATATTAACCCAAGTAGACTAGTCGTCCGTACAAAGACGTGATGCTTTTTTCAGCTGGCATACTGTTCGACGACTCGTGTAGAGGGTACCGAGACCCTTTGGCTCCGCGATAGTTTATTGTTGCGCACGGTTGGGGCGTTGATAGCCATTGATTGTGGCGTTTTGGCCTTTGCCACTCTACTTTACATCGGAAGCTACTCTATAGCTGCAGACAGAAGCCAAGAAAAAGCGCGGAACATTTTTCCTCTTGGGAACAATAAGTTGTCATCGAGCATTTTTTGGATACGATTTGATGGTATACCATTCACTGTCTATTGAATCGCGATCGTAACTCATCTCTCACTAACTCTATTCAACCCAACGGCTATCTTAACTTGCACCCAACCCTCGAACCCTTCCCGTACACGTAATACCACCGAGAAACCTAATCTAACAAACTGTACATGCCAAGAAACGCATCCAAGAACCTTCCGTCAACCCTCCGCCAATACTTCCCCTTTCTTTTA